CTAAATTGGAGAGACATCAATTTGAAGGGTGGACCACTTAGTGGATAAAGAACTGGCTGGATGGGCACAGGCAAAGAGTTGTGGTCAGTGGCTCAATGTCCAATTGGAGACCAGTAATGAATGGTGTCCCTCAGGGATCGGTGTTGGGACCGGTCTTGTTTAACATCTTTGTTGGTGACATGGACAGTGGGATTGAGTGCGCCCTCAGCAAGTTTGCCGATGACACCAAGCTGTGTGGTTCGGTTGGTACGCTGGAGGGAAGGAATGCCATCCAGAGGGACCTTGACATGCTTGTGAGGTGGGCTGATGGCAACCTCATGAAGTTTAACCATGCCAAGTGCAAGGTCCTACAGCTGGGTCGGAGCAATCCCAGACACAGCTACAGGCTGGGCAGAGAAGAGATTCAGAGCAGCCCTGCGGAGAAGGACTTGGGGGTGCTGGTCGGTTATTAGCATATATAAATATATAAAGGGGGGTGTCACGATGATGGAGCCAGGCTCTTCTCAGTGGCAAACAATGATAGGACAAGGGGCAATGGGTACAAACTGGAACACAAGAGGTTCCACTTAAACTTGAGAAGAAACTTCTTCTCAGTGAGGGTGACAGAACACTGGAACAGGCTGCCCAGGGAGGTTGTGGAATCTCCTTCTCTGGAGACACTCAAAACCCGCCTGGACACATTCCTGTGTAACCTTATCTAGGTGTTCCTGCTCTGGCAGGGGGATTGGGCTAGATGATCTTTTGAGGTCCCTTCCAATCTCTAGCATACTGTGATACTGTGATATGAGGCGGCTTCTGTGTGCGCTCACAGCCCAGAAAGCCAAACGTATCCTGGGCTGCATCAAAAGGATCATGACCAGCAGGTTGAAGGAGGTGATCCTGCCCCTTTATTCTGGTCTCGTGAGACCTCACCTGGAGTATTGTGTACAGTTCTGGTGTCCTCAACATAAAAAGGACATGGATCTGTTGGAACAAGTCCAGAGGAGGGCCATGAGGATGATCAGGGGACTGGAGCACCTCCTGTATGAGGACAGGCTGAGAAAGTTCGGGCTATTCAGCCTGGAGAAGAGAAGGCTGCGTGGAGACCTCATAGCAGCCTTCCAGTATCTGAAGGGGGCCTATAGGGGTTCTGGAGAGGGACTCTTCATTAGGGACTGTAGTGATAGGACAAGGGGTAATGGGTTAAAACTTAAACAGGGGAAGTTCAGATTGGATATAAGGAAGAAGGTCTTTACTGTGAGGGTGGTGAGGCACTGGAATGGGTTGCCCACAGAAGTTGTGAATGCTCCATCCCTGGTGGTGTTCAAGGCCAGGTTGGGTAGAGCCTTGGGTAACATGGTTTAGTGTGAGGTGTCCCTGCCCATGGCAGGGGGGTTGGAACTTGATGATCTTAAGGTCCTTTCCAACCCTAACTGTTCTGTGATTCTATGATTTTGTCATTCATTGACAGATGAGGAGGAAGTCTGGTTGGTGCTCCTTCTAGTCTGGCAATCCCTATTCCCACCAATCTGCCCCTGGGGATGTCAGGTCCCTCCCTGGAGCTCCAACCTTCCTGAAAGGACTGGGAACACTTTAGTTTTACTCCTTCCATCATTTAAAATACAAAAGAGTTTTGAATGAAAGTTCAATTTCCAGCAAACTTGAGTTCTGTCTTTTTAGTGGTTATGAACTATGGCCAAATGTTTTAAGTGCTGAGTAAGTCCTTTTAGTTATGGCTATCCAAGGACAAATGGAAAAAAAGGACAAGGACAAGCAAGAAAGAAAACAGTCTTTCAGAATCCCTCCTTTGTTTCTGGGAAAGGACATGGATTTTTCAAGACTTTCCAGATTCTCTCTATTCCTAGAAGAGCTGGAGGACAATCCTACTGGCCATAAAAGTACAAACTTCCCCATGTGCTTGTCCTGGTACTGATTGTCCCAGACTCTCTTCCTGCCTGGATAAGTAACTGAGAAAGTTTTCAGCAACTTTTAGTACCCAAGTCCAAAACTTGTAATGAGCTGGACATTGTCAATACTTACAGCAAGGGCCTCTGGCATAGTTAGGAATAAATAATGAGCTTTTTGAACATGCCATTCCAGTGGGTGAATCTAGAAGTGAGGGCTGATGATCTCAGTGTCTCCTGGATTTGTCAGGAGCAGAGAATAATTGAGATAGATTCTAGGTACACCTCTGAACAGCAGAAGCAGATGAGGGGCCATGATGAAAACATAAAAAATAAGAGAACCATGCCTCTCAAGGAGAAACTTTCATTTTTCCCAACATGACAACTGAAATGTTGGACACAGTGTACTTAAACATGGTACAAGTCTAGTTGCCTGGTGAACCATGTGTAAGCAATACATACGAGGACTGTACTATAGCGACAACCTTTTTCCAGCAGTGGAAAACAGGTATTTTCTCTAGCTGATCTCTCTCTTTCAAAGCAAACTGCACATGCACATGTATGTACATATTTTTATGTATATATAGCCAATTTAATTAAACAAAATTCCTTACAGGCTGAGACTGCACAAGACAAGAGTCAATCAAGAACTGTGTTTTTTTTTTTCAATTCTCGTGTTCAAACAGAAGTCCCTTGGGAAGGAGGGCTGGATATTCCACGCAGAGAAGTGTTGGCTTTTCAAACAGATTGTTTACAGAAGGTCCTAGTTAAGTCATCTGATTGATTAACACAGATTTGGACTATGCCTGTGGAAATCACTGATATTACAGGTTGTGTTGGCAACTAAGTAGGAAAAATTAGAGAAGAAAATCAGATCAGTTTAACTGAAGCTTTTAATAAAAGTTCTACTTCATATGACTAATTTTTTTTTTTCCCTCGCATTAGGATGTGAATGGATTTTTCTCATTCAGGTCAAAGTACTCAGTGTCACATATAATGTCTTGTTTTATGGGACTTTTAAGGAGAGGAAATAGTAAAATAAATGCAATCCCTTTCATCCAGGAACTCAGTGATTAGAGCACTTATTCTGTATGTAGGAGGCCAGGGTTATGTTCCTTCCTCCTCTTGAGGACATTTGAATTGATATCACTCAGATATTAGGGCTTCATTTATGTGGATGAGGGAGATGTTCTTAACTCCTATTGTTCTACTTTTGTTGGGAAAATACTTGAAATATTTTGGAGGCCATGGGGAGAATAATTTTGTGGCTTAGTGCACTCACCTAGGAGAAATGAGATCTGTGCTCCAGGCTGCATTACACTGACTACTTAAGAGTTTAAATGCCTCCTGAAGCAGGGACTGCAATCCTTTTCTGCTTCCCCCATGACTCGTCCAACCATTTAGGATAAAGTTATTTTGCGCACTGAGCTCTAATGAGTGATTTATCCTATGTAAAATATAACAAATTGAGTAGGAGGGACTGCCTGACCCCAGGCAGACAGCCTGGCAAGTAAGTTAATACGTGGCAGGCATGGGCTCACACGATGTCCAGGCAAAGACATAGAAGGGTGCCCAGCTCTGCCACAGCCCAGTCTAATGCCTGAGTAACATCTCTCCAGCTGCTCTGGAAGACTTATAAATCTAGCAACAACAAAATATTGGCCTAATGTAAGAAATAGCGATGGGAAGATAAGAGAACAGAGTTAGCCAAAAAACCTTCTGTCTGGTTCTTTTCTTGACATCCTAGTCACAACTGCAACTTAAAAAAGAACTGATAGTTACCTTGATTGCTTGGTGTTTGTCTGCTTGAGAAAAGAAAACTGAACTGTAAGACCTTAGGCACTTTTGTCGGATCAGGCAGTATACTAAAAAAACATTAGGGCTATAAAATAAATATAGAAGGCAAAAGGTAAATGAGCTTTCCAACTACAGGAACACTTTTTTTCTTTACCTCCCTTGTTTCTGGGACTGAATTCTGGGGCAGAGATACACCGCAAGAAGCACTGCAATTAGCATGCTATTAGTGATGGTGGAAACATTTTTAATCAAAGAAAAGTATCTCAAAGATAGTACCAATAGGTTGGGACAGTTTCCTTCCATCTGGAGACAGAAGAAAAGGAGGAACAAAGCACCTAAACTGTGGTAAGGGCAATCCTGTGTAGTGAAATGGATTACCTAGATGAGAAGGACTTGCTCACAACTTTTCTTGCCCTCTTACTCCTTCTCAATGAAAATCAGTGAAAGTCAGATGGATTTTTATCACTTCATTTTTTTTTTGCTTTTGCAATACTTATATTAAGGCTTTCTTCTGCTCTCGCATTAATGCTTACCCTGCTTTCTTCTCAAAGCACAGGTCCTTTCCAGAATCACTGCCATCAAAATGTTCCCTCACTGAGAACAACGCCAAAATAAACTGCTCGAGGTCCCACCTCCCAAGACTCTCAGGAATCTCAGCAGAGACTGATGAGTTAGATTTGGCACCCATTTTGTGTTTTAAATATATTATTTTTCCCCTCTAGGTCATGGATATTTAGACAGATGTGTTTGGAGATTTCCAAAAATTAAGGGAATGACAAAGGTTAGCTTTGTTAATCTAAGTGACCAAAAAAACCCCCTTATTGCCCCAGCAAGTGAGCAAGACATCAGGGGCCAGCTGTTATAGGCTGTGACTGAGTTTTTGTTCTTTCTCAGTAACAGACTCTGTCCAGCAGAGGTGTTAAGGCATTATGGCCTGAATTCTTGCCAGTGTCATTCCTTCATAACAATACTTTGTGCTTTTGTATTGCCTGAGAGAGTTTGCTAAGGCTTGTGAGAGATTGAACTGGGCATCTGATACCATCTGTGAAAATCCCACTGGTAACAGCTAAAAATTCACCTCTGTGCTTCTGCTGGAAGCAAAACTCTTTTCCGAAGCTGTGGTGTGACTCTCACTGCTGTGGCTGCCAGAGAAGGAAAGCCTTTTTATTGAAGTCTTACAACCTGAATGACTGTTATCCCTGCAGGAAAGAAAAAAAAACACACAACAAACCCCCTCATGGGACCAACAGATAACTAATGAGTCTGTCTGCTGAGAGGCAGCAAGAGAAGCATGTCACCTTGTCTTGTTTGGTTTGGCAGAGCTGGAGCACTCATAAGAGACGAAGCTGCTACAACTTGCCTCCCCAGCTCCCAGAGCCAAGCAGCCTTTGCTGCCAAAAGCATTCTTCCACCGCAACATGCACAGCAGGTAAGTGTCTGCCAAATGACAAAACACAAACCTCCTAACAAGTAGCTGAAGGTAGGGTGGGAATTCCAGATAGAGACAAATCTATGTCCCTCAGGAGATCTGGAGCAAAATGATCAGTATAAGTATTTCACTGCTAATTAAGTTTTGATCCTTTGGCTTCACTTGAAACAGTTTGAGAGTATATCAACTTTGAGAGCAGGTGCTGACTAGCTTGAAAGCACTGGTCCATCAAATCAGGTAAGAGTTTTATATCTAGAAACTCCCCTAAAAGAAAGACTGTAACTTGCTAAGTGATAGATATACCCAGGCCCTTTCAAGTATAACACGTTATTGACAGAGTTATAATGCTTCTAACTTACATTTATTCCCCCAAATGTTTGCAAAATTCCCCTCTGCTCTGAAAAAGCATCCTCTGTCTCATGTTCTGTCCTCTTCATTAAAGTGTATGGAATGAATGCCAAAGGAGACATAGCCAGGTGCAGCTTGGAAATCCCAGTAGTTGCTTCTGCTCTGCCTGCCTTGGTTTGGAATCCAAATCCAAACAGGAAAGTTTGGGTTTAGAGGAGATGCCACCTCTGTTCCATTGTCTTCAAAACTTTCAAAGGTTAAGAGCAGAAGAAGGTTGGATGCATAGCACATCTTGTCCCCAGATGCCAGAGTATTTAAAGGAGTGTTCACCTTTTATTAGCAGCTCTTAGATTTTTCTTGGTTGACCAGAATGGAGAAAGGCCCAGGAAATCTGCAAGTGAAAAATAATTAGCTGTGTATGAAGTGGGAAACTATGATAGAGAGGTCATTAAAAATGTGGGTTATGTTTTCCTGTATCTGAAAAACTTCTTTCTTAATGATCCCTGTGCTACAGAAAACAACAAAGCAGGTTAGGATAAATAAAAATCTGTACCATGCCTCGCTACTGCTACGGCTGCCTGAGGACAGAATGCAGAATGGCACATAGTTACAGCAGCTTGCGGTGTGACCAGCTCCAATTGCTCCCAATCATAGCTTGCCTTCAAGTCACTGTTGAAAGATACATTTTTATTGTAAGTTGCTCCCTGAAACGTGGGTCTCTAATGACCGCTTAAAAAAAACCACCTCTTTCCAGTGTCATAGTACTTCATTCATGGGGCCAAAATGATTCTGTATCTTCCTTCTCAGTGAATGTAATGGATAGTTAAAAGATAGAAAAACATTTGCAAGTCTAGCAGTCATTCTTTTACTGTTGTGTTGCCAGTGTTCTGGAAGAAAGCACTCGAAAATTTCTGGTATGCCTTCAAATTTCTGCTGCTCATACTGAGAGCCAGAACTTGCTAGTGTACAGGTGTCAATACTGGCAGACGAATTTTCTTCATCATAGTAAGGTTTCGAGTAAGGTATTCCCTCAAGTATTGAGGTAGTGGTACAGTTACCAGCTTGCTTCTAGCCTTGTGGAATTTGACAGACAGCTGGCAATTGAGAATTTCTTTGTAAAGACAAAACCAGCAACACAGGGATGTTTTCTTCCCAGACATCTTCCTTTGTTATGGGAAGTGTTTGCATGGCTTTCTCTGTCTCTCCTGTTGCCCTTTAGGGCCCTTTTGTGACTCAGGGGGTGTGGTGCTCTCAACACTTTGTGAGGTTTTGCACAGGATGGGCTCCTGAACAGCTAACGCAAGATTACTGGACCAGCTGCTGTCTAAATTAATAGCATTGTGTAGATGCAACTGGAGGCAAAATTTCACCCCAGAATGGATTTAGTCCAATGTGCCTTGTACTGTGCAGCAGATCTGGGTTCTTCAACCTCCACTCCTAATGTGTCATTTGCCCAAATTGCACTGATTTTGTAATGAGGACTTCTTTGTACCTGTAATCCAATCAGAGTTCTTTACTACCTGAATAAAGAACTCTTCCTGACTGGACAGAAATAGTTAAAGGATTTCATTTTCCATTCACAGAGCTGCTATAAACCATCCATTAATGAATTATGACAGCTGCACCTGCTGAAGAGTATTTTACTGAGTTTAAACATCATAAGTAAGCAGAGTTGCTCAGTATGTTGCATGAATGAGAAGCAGTTGAAGTGTGACAGAAATTACAATACAGAGGTGTATATTCAGATCATCCATCCCTATTTACATCACAAGAAAATGTGACATCAGTGTAGGTCCATTATGTATAGTATCTCTGGTATAGACCTTTGTGGTTTCATGAAGAAATTGGGCCTAAATAATTTGCAAGACTGGAATACTCCTGAGAACCTCTTCCATCTGGATCACAATGCTACAGGCCCAATGTGGTTGAGTGAATTAGCCTATTGTTTTCAGCAGGGGAATAAAAAAATGGGGTTAGTAAATTAAGTAGAACATCCAACATCACTTGTCCAGCAGTTCTGGTGGTTATACCTTTCATTTGCTCTTAATTTGGAACACTGGATGATAGTTAATCACATGAGCCTGGAAACACAAGTTGGGAAGGAAATAAGAACATAGGATTGTGGCTCTCCAGTTAAAACACATTTGTGATGTCAGTTCTCCTGCTGTAGTGCATTTGTGCTCCAGCAGTGAGGATGAAGGCTGCTTAACACTTGTCTCCATGGGTTTGGTTCTGGGATGGAAGGATTTGCGTGTATGATTCTATGAGGCTGTGGCTGGGGAATGTATGCCTTCCAACCCAGCTGCTCTGAGGTAGGTCCTGTTTCTAGCTGTAGAGCATCAGTGCCTCCTTCCTGAGGACCTTTTTGCCAGGTGAAGCTAAGCATGAGAGGTCACAGAGCAAGAAAGAAGCTTGGTGCCAACTTGTAGAAACATAAAACACATGAGGGTTAGGAGATCTAAGTCTCAGACAAAACTGAAACATAGGAAACAATGTGGCAAGCTCCACAGAGGCATTTTCTGTGCATGGTCGGTCAGCCGAATGTGCCTTTTCAGCGCTGCCACCACACAAACAGCAATCTGTGATGCCTTCCCCGCTATTCCTTTCTGGTTGCCAGAGTCCCTCTTTGCTTCGAATGTAAGTTAGTGGGGCATTTCTAACTGAAAGGGGTGAGAAAAAGCCACAGAGTTTACTAAGCTTTTCCTCTTCCATTCCTGCATTTGGCATAGTTTGGTCAAAATGGTGAATTGGTACCACTTGCTCTGTTGCGTTCTTGAAGTAGTTAGTGCATGGATCAACTTTTGGCATGTCTGAAATTGACTCATTTAGCATGTCTAGATTTGATGCGTTGAGCCCAAACTGCAGTCACACCAAGTGGCTGTCAGTGCTGTGTCAAATACTGGCAGTAGAAATAAGGCATAAGGCCTTCATGCTCACACATCCCTAGGTTAAAAGACTATTCTCACTTGAATTCCCTCAATTGTCTTCTATGCTAGATTCTTCTGTGTGGGTTTGAAAATAAATTATGCATCAAAATCAGTGTTAGAGGCCACTGTGTCTTTCCCAGTCAATACTGCCTGAGGCTTTTGATGCTGATCAGGATGTGGATAAGTACCTGTGAAGGTGAAAGAATTACTAGGTAATCCTCATGTACTAAGAAATAATATTTAAACTGTGGTTGTTCTTAACCTACAAAAGTTTTAAAACATTGTTTGAAGCTGGTGTGCTAGAGGAAGCAGGCTAAATCAGCTCAATCCTTCCTCACTTTTATTGCAGTCCTTTCCTTGAAGGAAGAGAAAACCTACATGTTGATGTACTGCTATGAGTTTTCAGAGGAGCTGAGAAAGCCCAATAGAAATGTTAAAGCAAACTGTGCTCTCCTTACCTCTGTTTTCCTGCCTCTCTCTGGGGTGGATATACAGCACCTCCAAGATATGGCAAATGTCCAGTTGCTTGTGAGGCCACGTCCCTACATTTCAGCTTGGAGCTACCAGCTGGCAGCAGCAGCAGCCCTGTGCTGTCCGGGTGGTTACAACCAGCGGCTTTGAAGTTCTGCCCTTCAGCTATCTCCTCTTGCATGCAGCTTGTGATACATGAGTCTGTGTCCTGCAGCTGTCTCCATTTAAGTCAGCAGGCATTTCAAGCGCTGCTGGCCACCCCGGGGAAAGGGGCAAGAGTTGAACAAAATGTTCATCTTCAATTAAACCATTGGAATGCCAGTGCAGAGTCTGATTCCCTGCCACTTTCTCCTATAAAACCAGTGTCATGTCTGAGCTTTTTAATAGGAAAGAAAATAGGCAGCTGCCAAGGTCTGCTAGTTAGTATGAGTTTGAACCAAAGGAAAATCAATAACTGTGTCAAGTGGTTTATAAGTAAGACAAGCTGATTTTTAGGCAGTGACTTCAGTAAGCTCCAGCTCCCCTTTAGACTACTGTGTTCAGTTTGAAACTTCACTGCTAAATATGTTAGAGGAAGCCAGCAAGATAATACCCAGGCAGCTAAACCAGCAGTGGGGTTTTAAAATGTTTCCTTGCAGTGAGCCAAATTCAGCTCCAGTATAAGTTCAATTCCTACTAAAGCCAGTTCTGAAACTGCTGCTGAAGACAGGCTGAAAACAGCAGTTCAGATCTTCATCACATTGCACTATCTGGGTTGTCTTCACTAGGCAAGACTTCATCATGCAAAACATAAACAAGAGGAAAATATGAACCACCTGGCTCTTTTACCCATTTAGTCTTGGGCTGAATTTGCTCGAGTATCTCTGTTTTGTCTTTTATGCATATCAAGTATGCCTGCCTGGTTTGAGCCACAGGAAAAGCAGTAACAACAGTCTTTGACACCTGTGTTTCCTCCAGCTGTGAGTCTCATCTTTTTTCTGCAAACCACTTTATCTGCTTCAGAATGAGGGGCCAGTTCTCAGAATCACAAACGCTGTTCTGCAACAAATGGTCTCTTCGTTTGCTTTATCTGTACAAGTGTGTGCTTCTTGGTCTTACTTGACTGTTTCTATGAACTTTACGTGCTGTGGAGTATGCCCCTGACTTACAGAGTGACTTTGATACAAACTGCATAACAAAAGAATTTACAGTGCAGGCTCACGTGTTTAAATCCATGGTTATGTTCTTAAAAGATCTAACTTTCTCTCCCTTACC